ATTCTTGGCGTGGCTATCACTTCTGTTATTCGAAGTCACCAAGATGCAACCTTCGCCATTACTGCTGTGTTTATCATCTTCTGCACCACATTGACTCTCTGCTTTGTGTTCGTGCCAAAGGTTTGTTTACACACCACTTTTTTATATTTGCATAATTCGTAATAATTTTATGGTAAAATATAGGCGTTAAGGTTAGTGCGAATAGCTTGCTTGATCATCACTATCAACAGCTTTGTTGTAGAAACAATTGACAGTAGATCAGTGTATCTTTTTTTTTTTTTTTACCAATACTAACATTAATTCTCCTAATCAAGGGAAACCAGGGCCATAGCCAGTATGAAGCAAACTGAGGCATTTGCCTCCGTCATTTGTTTTGTTTTGTTTTTGTTTTTTTTTTGGAGGGGGAAAGTTAAACAATACTAAAATGTAACTACGGACATTGCCTCAGTCATAATTTTTTTCTGGTTTTTTGCCCTGGAAACATTAATTAGAAGAAATCAGTGTTAAATACAGCGCCGCGTGCAAGTACCCTGGCGTACAGATGTTCAATGCTTACAACGTCCCTCAGACTAATCCAGTCATATTCCAACTGAACCGTATTTTTAAGGTGACAAAACTGTGGTCTCCAGACGGTGGAAACGAAGCCAGTACAACGCGTCGAAGTAATGCTAATCCAGATTCCTTGTCCACCATGGACAAAAATGCTGTCAGTATGACCATGGAAAACTCACAGCTCAAGAAACTACTAGCTGAGGTAGGCTTTTATCCTAATGTCAAATACGATGCCCAGGAATTGGCGGAAAATAAACACTGGCTTGTTCTCACCGGGAAATAATTGAAACGAAACGCAGTCCGAGGTTACCTAATGATTTTCAGCCCGTCACTTGCTATATACTTGAAGTAATATGTGTCGTAATGATTACACTTCAAATTTAGTTTTACATCATTCATAACGAAATTGCTCTATGCCAACAAATATGCAACACAATAGCGTCTTCACACGTTCTTCTTTAGGTCTTAATGATTTGCCGGTGAGGCGGAGACCCAAAGGGTAGTGTGTTAGACACTTCATCTGGCGGTCCGTGTTCTACAGAGATTCTTACACCGTGGTCTTGAGAAATTATACTTTGTGTCCCCCTCTCTCCATCCAGGCCGTTTAACGCTTTTCCGAGTATAAAGTTGCTTTTCCCTTCACATGTTTTGTGTAGTGTGAGATTACTCAAGCTCAAAACTGAAGGACAAACAATATTAACAGAAAACCTCACCGACAAAATACAAAACTGAAATAAAAATTCTCGCCAATCCTGGGTTAGCTTGAACAACCCGGCCCAGGATAATAAATGTATATTCAAGAATTAACGCAATTTGACAAAAACATTAGTCAGTTGCCGCATTAAACAAATAAAATCACATCCTGGAGAGGAGCTATTATCCCGTTCGTCGTCGAAACGTTTATGATTTTTAAAATGATTTCTTTGGGCAACAGATTGATGGAATTTAAATGTCGTGTCTTAAACGTTATGTATAGCAGAGAGCTGGAACCAGAAACATGATCTGTATACTTGTCGCATTTTGTACGAGGGTCGAGCAACGGTTCAAATTCTTCAAAGAAAAAAAAACCCGCTAGTATATGGGCCATAGTGCATGGGTAGCGATGATTGTAATTTTCTAATACTT